ATGGGACCTATACTGCGTGGTGTCACCTGCTTCAAGCGGAACTGCCAGACGCATCCACACAGTGCTAATGTTGCTCTAAGGTTTTTTGTGTCTCGATCATGCACTTCTATGCTGATTCATGTCTGTTCATAGGCACCCCTGGAGCGTTGGGTTGCCCACCTGCGGCCTCGCCGACCGCTCCGACACGAACAGATGGAGCCCGCACCCCGACAGGTATGAAGGCACTCCGATGGGACCTATACTGCGTGGTGTCACCTGCTTCAAGCGGAACTGCCAGACGCATCCACACAGTGCTAATGTTGCTCTAAGGTTTTTTGTGTCTCGATCATGCACTTCTATGCTGATTCATGTCTGTTCATAGGCACCCCTGGAGCGTTGGGTTGCCCACCTGCGGCCTCGCCGACCGCTCCGACACGAACAGATGGAGCCCGCACCCCGACAGGTATGAAGGCACTCCGATGGGACCTATACTGCGTGGTGTCACCTGCTTCAAGCGGAACTGCCAGACGCATCCACACAGTGCTAATGTTGCTCTAAGGTTTTTTGTGTCTCGATCATGCACTTCTATGCTGATTCATGTCTGTTCGTAGGCACCCCTGGAGCGTTGGGTTGCCCACCTGCGGCCTCGCCGACCGCTCCGACACGAACAGATGGAGCCCGCACCCCGACAGGTATGAAGGCACTCCGATGGGACCTATACTGCGTGGTGTCACCTGCTTCAAGCGGAACTGCCAGACGCATCCACAGAGTGCTAATGTTGCTCTAAGGTTTTTTGTGTCTCGATCATGCACTTCTATGCTGATTCATGTCTGTTCATAGGCACCCCTGGAGCGTTGGGTTGCCCACCTGCGGCCTCGCCGACCGCTCCGACACGAACAGATGGAGCCCGCACCCCGACAGGTATGAAGGCACTCCGATGGGACCTATACTGCGTGGTGTCACCTGCTTCAAGCGGAACTGCCAGACGCATCCACACAGTGCTAATGTTGCTCTAAGGTTTTTTGTGTCTCGATCATGCACTTCTATGCTGATTCATGTCTGTTCATAGGCACCCCTGGAGCGTTGGGTTGCCCACCTGCGGCCTCGCCGACCGCTCCGACACGAACAGATGGAGCCCGCACCCCGACAGGTATGAAGGCACTCCGATGGGACCTATACTGCGTGGTGTCACCTGCTTCAAGCGGAACTGCCAGACGCATCCACACAGTGCTAATGTTGCTCTAAGGTTTTTTGTGTCTCGATCATGCACTTCTATGCTGATTCATGTCTGTTCATAGGCACCCCTGGAGCGTTGGGTTGCCCACCTGCGGCCTCGCCGACCGCTCCGACACGAACAGATGGAGCCCGCACCCCGACAGGTATGAAGGCACTCCGATGGGACCTATACTGCGTGGTGTCACCTGCTTCAAGCGGAACTGCCAGACGCATCCACAGAGTGCTAATGTTGCTCTAAGGTTTTTTGTGTCTCGATCATGCACTTCTATGCTGATTCATGTCTGTTCGTAGGCACCCCTGGAGCGTTGGGTTGCCCACCTGCGGCCTCGCCGACCGCTCCGACACGAACAGATGGAGCCCGCACCCCGACAGGTATGAAGGCACTCCGATGGGACCTATACTGCGTGGTGTCACCTGCTTCAAGCGGAACTGCCAGACGCATCCACAGAGTGCTAATGTTGCTCTAAGGTTTTTTGTGTCTCGATCATGCACTTCTATGCTGATTCATGTCTGTTCGTAGGCACCCCTGGAGCGTTGGCTTGCCCACCTGCGGCCTCGCCGACCGCTCCGACACGAACAGATGGAGCCCGCACCCCAACAGGTATGAAGGCACTCCGATGGGACCTATACTGCGTGGTGTCACCTGCTTCAAGCGGAACTGCCAGACGCATCCACAGAGTGCTAATGTTGCTCTAAGGTTTTTTGTGTCTCGATCATGCACTTCTATGCTGATTCATGTCTGTTCGTAGGCACCCCTGGAGCGTTGGGTTGCCCACCTGCGGCCTCGCCGACCGCTCCGACACGAACAGATGGAGCCCGCACCCCAACAGGTATGAAGGCACTCCGATGGGACCTATACTGCGTGGTGTCACCTGCTTCAAGCGGAACTGCCAGACGCATCCACAGAGTGCTAATGTTGCTCTAAGGTTTTTTGTGTCTCGATCATGCACTTCTATGCTGATTCATGTCTGTTCGTAGGCACCCCTGGAGCGTTGGGTTGCCCACCTGCGGCCTCGCCGACCGCTCCGACACGAACAGATGGAGCCCGCACCCCAACAGGTATGAAGGCACTCCGATGGGACCTATACTGCGTGGTGTCACCTGCTTCAAGCGGAACTGCCAGACGCATCCACAGAGTGCTAATGTTGCTCTAAGGTTTTTTGTGTCTCGATCATGCACTTCTATGCTGATTCATGTCTGTTCGTAGGCACCCCTGGAGCGTTGGGTTGCCCACCTGCGGCCTCGCCGACCGCTCCGACACGAACAGATGGAGCCCGCACCCCGACAGGTATGAAGGCACTCCGATGGGACCTATACTGCGTGGTGTCACCTGCTTCAAGCGGAACTGCCAGACGCATCCACAGAGTGCTAATGTTGCTCTAAGGTTTTTTGTGTCTCGATCATGCACTTCTATGCTGATTCATGTCTGTTCATAGGCACCCCTGGAGCGTTGGGTTGCCCACCTGCGGCCTCGCCGACCGCTCCGACACGAACAGATGGAGCCCGCACCCCAACAGGTATGAAGGCACTCCGATGGGACCTATACTGCGTGGTGTCACCTGCTTCAAGCGGAACTGCCAGACGCATCCACAGAGTGCTAATGTTGCTCTAAGGTTTTTTGTGTCTCGATCATGCACTTCTATGCTGATTCATGTCTGTTCGTAGGCACCCCTGGAGCGTTGGGTTGCCCACCTGCGGCCTCGCCGACCGCTCCGACACGAACAGATGGAGCCCGCACCCCGACAGGTATGAAGGCACTCCGATGGGACCTATACTGCGTGGTGTCACCTGCTTCAAGCGGAACTGCCAGACGCATCCACACAGTGCTAATGTTGCTCTAAGGTTTTTTGTGTCTCGATCATGCACTTCTATGCTGATTCATGTCTGTTCATAGGCACCCCTGGAGCGTTGGGTTGCCCACCTGCGGCCTCGCCGACCGCTCCGACACGAACAGATGGAGCCCGCACCCCAACAGGTATGAAGGCACTCCGATGGGACCTATACTGCGTGGTGTCACCTGCTTCAAGCGGAACTGCCAGACGCATCCACAGAGTGCTAATGTTGCTCTAAGGTTTTTTGTGTCTCGATCATGCACTTCTATGCTGATTCATGTCTGTTCGTAGGCACCCCTGGAGCGTTGGGTTGCCCACCTGCGGCCTCGCCGACCGCTCCGACACGAACATATGGAGCCCGCACCCCGACAGGTATGAAGGCACTCCGATGGGACCTATACTGCGTGGTGTCACCTGCTTCAAGCGGAACTGCCAGACGCATCCACACAGTGCTAATGTTGCTCTAAGGTTTTTTGTGTCTCGATCATGCACTTCTATGCTGATTCATGTCTGTTCATAGGCACCCCTGGAGCGTTGGGTTGCCCACCTGCGGCCTCGCCGACCGCTCCGACACGAACAGATGGAGCCCGCACCCCGACAGGTATGAAGGCACTCCGATGGGACCTATATTGCGTGGTGTCACCTGCTTCAAGCGGAACTGCCAGACGCATCCACACAGTGCTAATGTTGCTCTAAGGTTTTTTGTGTCTCGATCATGCACTTCTATGCTGATTCATGTCTGTTCGTAGGCACCCCTGGAGCGTTGGGTTGCCCACCTGCGGCCTCGCCGACCGCTCCGACACGAACAGATGGAGCCCGCACCCCAACAGGTATGAAGGCACTCCGATGGGACCTATACTGCGTGGTGTCACCTGCTTCAAGCGGAACTGCCAGACGCATCCACACAGTGCTAATGTTGCTCTAAGGTTTTTTGTGTCTCGATCATGCACTTCTATGCTGATTCATGTCTGTTCGTAGGCACCCCTGGAGCGTTGGGTTGCCCACCTGCGGCCTCGCCGACCGCTCCGACACGAACAGATGGAGCCCGCACCCCGACAGGTATGAAGGCACTCCGATGGGACCTATACTGCGTGGTGTCACCTGCTTCAAGCGGAACTGCCAGACGCATCCACACAGTGCTAATGTTGCTCTAAGGTTTTTTGTGTCTCGATCATGCACTTCTATGCTGATTCATGTCTGTTCATAGGCACCCCTGGAGCGTTGGGTTGCCCACCTGCGGCCTCGCCGACCGCTCCGACACGAACAGATGGAGCCCGCACCCCAACAGGTATGAAGGCACTCCGATGGGACCTATACTGCGTGGTGTCACCTGCTTCAAGCGGAACTGCCAGACGCATCCACAGAGTGCTAATGTTGCTCTAAGGTTTTTTGTGTCTCGATCATGCACTTCTATGCTGATTCATGTCTGTTCGTAGGCACCCCTGGAGCGTTGGGTTGCCCACCTGCGGCCTCGCCGACCGCTCCGACACGAACAGATGAAGCCCGCACCCCGACAGGTATGAAGGCACTCCGATGGGACCTATACTGCGTGGTGTCACCTGCTTCAAGCGGAACTGCCAGACGCATCCACACAGTGCTAATGTTGCTCTAAGGTTTTTTGTGTCTCGATCATGCACTTCTATGCTGATTCATGTCTGTTCATAGGCACCCCTGGAGCGTTGGGTTGCCCACCTGCGGCCTCGCCGACCGCTCCGACACGAACAGATGGAGCCCGCACCCCAACAGGTATGAAGGCACTCCGATGGGACCTATACTGCGTGGTGTCACCTGCTTCAAGCGGAACTGCCAGACGCATCCACACAGTGCTAATGTTGCTCTAAGGTTTTTTGTGTCTCGATCATGCACTTCTATCCTGATTCATGTCTGTTCATAGGCGCCCCTCGAGCGTTGGGTTCCAGGCTGCCTCTACCAGCGGCCTCACCCACTGCTTTGACGCGGACGAATGGAGCCTGCACCCCGACAGGTATGCAGGCACTCCGATGGGACCTATACTGCGTGGTGTCACCTGCTTCAAGCGGAACTGCCAGACGCATCTACACAGTGCTAATGTTGCTCTAAGGTTTTTTGTGTCTCGATCATGCACTTCTATGGTGATTCATGTCTGTTCATAGGCGCCCCTGGAGCGTTGGGTTCCAGGCTGCCTCTACCAGCGGCCTCACCCACTGCATTGACGCGGACGAATGGAGCCTGCACCCCGACAGGTATGAAGGCACTCCGATGGGACCTATACTGCGTGGTGTCACCTGCTTCAAGCGGAACTGCCAGACGCATCCACACAGTGCTAATGTTGCTCTAAGGTTTTTTGTGTCTCGATCATGCACTTCTATGCTGATTCATGTCTGTTCATAGGCGCCCCTCGAGCGTTGGGTTCCAGGCTGGCTCTACCAGCGGCCTCACCCACTGCTTTGACGCTGACGAATGGAGCCTGCTCCCCGACAGGTATGCAGGTGCTTCAAGAAAAAAAAAATTGGGTTGTGTGTATGTTTATAAAGTCTAGAACTTGGTCTACCTCAACGGGCGACTTGTCTCCCAGCTGTAGATGAGAAATTTACCCAGTGCAGTACAGCCACTAGCCTGGGGTCCTTAACGAACATCACGCAGTAGTGATGCACGACCGCACGCTGGTACGATGCTCATTCAGATCAAAGCAGGCGGGGGTGGGGATAAAACCCAGCATCTTGGGTTCTGCAGCGCGAGCTTTCGCTCCACGTGCTCTGAGCTAGTGTGCGCTAGCCCACTCGGCCACCGATCCCCCCTCAGGTGCTCCAAGCGGGACCTATACTTCGTAGTGTCACCTGTTTCAAGCAGAACCACCAGACGCATGTACACAGTGCTTGTGTTGCTTCTAAAGTTTTCTTGTCGCTCAATCATGCACCTTTACGCTGATTGATATATGTCCATAGGTACGTTTGGTGCGTTGGTTTCCATTCTGCGTCCACCTGTGGCCTCCCCCACCTCTCTGATATGGACTGACGACGCCCGCACCCAGACAGGTATGCAAGCACACCGAAGGGGGACTATACTCTTTTGCGTCACCTGTATCGAGCAAAACCGTCAAAGGCCTCTTCATATTGGCAAAGTGATTGTCACGTTTGACATCTACACAGCGCTTTTGTTGCTACAAAGGTTCCTTTGTTTCTCAATCATTGACTATTTCTGCTTTTCGTTTACTTTACAGCAGCCTTGAGAGCAATGACTGCTGCTAGACATCCTGTGTTTTCAGCATCGTCACGTTACGAGACACGGTCCGTGATGACGCAGACAACAGGCTTCGGCAGAAACGCAGGTACGGTCATTCATGTAAACTAAATATACTGACACGAGAATCATTTTAATTCTGTTCGAATTCTACTTGAGCGAGTTCAACTGAGAAGGAGGTGGTGTCAGATATATCTCGATGTTTGAGCTGTGCAGATGTTTGGTATTTGTTAAAGAGAGCTTGGTGTAGTTAGCACACAGAGTTTAAGTCAAAAACCCATTCATTATATTTAAATGGAGCACATTTCTAATGCCTTAGATGTTTTGCTAGGTACACAAGCATGTATACCATCGAGGAACAAGAAAGTGCAGACGGAGCTTTCTGGAATTATGCCGCAGACCTCTTCCTCGTCAAACTGTGGTGATCCAGAACAGAGGTATGCAAACGTCTTGGGCCTACAATGCCTAGAGCATCTGAACGCCATCTGGCAACAACCTCTCCACCTATTTCTGTGTTAGTTTTAGGAGTTCCCTGAGGCCCTGCAACTCCCAGACATCACTTTGTGACCCCCCTTTTGTGCAGTTCTGATTCAGAAGACCTGGGTGTATCAGGGAAGCAGCCACTGGAAAGAGATGACCCTACGTATTGTCCACCAGAGGACAGCTCTGTTAGGTCCGTATGCAGTCGTGTAAGAATTTATGAGATCATCTATCATGCTTAGACAGTTTGCTGAGATGATGTTGGTTTTTGTGTCGCAGGCTTGAGAGGGAAACACCATCTTTGGTAAAGGAGAGGAAATTCATTGTATTCGAGTCTTGCCTTGACCTTCTCCTGGGGAAGTGCCAAGTATGTGCTGCTCCCCTGATCCACGTGGACAAGAGTGTCGTTGGCTGCAGCCTGCAAGTCTACTCAATTTGTCGGAGTGGACACGTGAATGACTGGTGCAGTCAGCCCATCATCAAGCGGAAGCCGGTGGGGAGTATCCTAATGGCTGCGGCAATCCTGTTCAGTGGCAGCTGCGTAAAGAAGACACTCAGAACACTCACCAGCATGGGGATTGTCTGTTTCTCCTATGGCACCTTCTTCAACATCCAGAAGGCCTTTCTCCTGCCCTCAATCGAAAAGGTACTCTGAAGTTAAAAACTGACAGAAACACCCCCCCCCCCCCCCATGTTTTCCCTGTGCTCTTTGCTCCTCGTGACCACAATAAAGTGGGCCTAGAAACTGTTTACTACAGAAACGAGTGGTTTCGTTCCTGGTTTGGAAAGGAGTAACCCATGGCTGAAATTCCTTCTTTCTGCTCGTGTGTTGGTCTTGTAGGCCAAATTTGGTCCTCGAACCATTAAAACACATTCATTAAGACATAATAGTAGATTCTGTAAAGAAAATGTGACCTAATTTAAACTCGGTCTCTGTTTCAAGCCCAGTTGCCCATCCCGTATTTTTCGTAACCAGGTCTGGAACAAGCATCAGAACGAGTTGTTCGCAGCTGCTGCAGGCACGCACCTCACCATCGCCGCTGACGGGAGAGCAGACTCACCTGGCCACTCGGCCAAGTATGGCTCCTACACGATGCTTGATGCCGATGACAACAAGGTCATTCACGTTGAAACCGTCCAGGTATGTACACAAATTCTATAGGTGCTCCAGATTCTATGCTGCCATAAGCATATAATGTTATACTTGCAACTAGGTAAATATCTGCTGAGCATTTTTTCGGCCATGTAGCTTGTAATTTTTTTAATAATTTGTTATCATCATTACAAAGTGTGAAAATGTGAATTACAAAATCGAGAGATGTGAGTTACACCCATTTCCCTTTACTGTGACTTGGACACAGCAATGGAAAGACACACACCTCAATGTTCAGACATTGAGGTGTACAAACTCTCATATTTTGTTTCGTTTGTGCTGCTTCATGTTGTCCTCGTTTGTTTCTTTTCGTCCAATGAAACTGGGGGCAGCTATCATATGGAGCTGGAAGGCCTCAAGAGGTCCCTCAGCATTTTTGAGGCCCACTCGTTGATTGTGGCCATCCTGGTAACCGACCGGCATCCCCAGCTCAATGCTTGGCTGGGACGAGAACACCCAGATATCTGCCACCTTTTTGATTGCTGGCATGTGGGGAAGGGTAAGATTTAAAAAGGTTCCATCTATCCCAATGAGACTATCACCAGCTTGGGCAGTGGTCCTGAAGGCAGCCTTTGGGAAAATGTAAACTTCCCCAGCCGTGGGAAGTGTTAAGAGTTGCAAAAGATATAAAATTGAGCTATCTAACTAACTAAAATGGGCTATTTAAATTTCTAATTGGCCATTTTTAGGGCCATGTTGCAATTAGGGTTTTGAAGGCTGCCACCATGGTCATCTAAAGCAATTTACAAAAAGTAAAAAGAAGCAACTGGCTTAGAGATATTCACCGACAGACTTTGCGCTGTAATGGGTATGATTTTCGAAATTTGATATCACTATACGCACCTGTCCTACCATACCCATTACGGCGCAAAGTTTGTTGGTGACTATCTTGAAGCTGGTTGCTTCTTTTTACTTTTTACTTTACTTACTACCATGGTGGTAGCCTTCAAAATTCTTTGTTTTTGTTTTGCCTCTTTGCTTTTCAGATAACTTATTTTCAGTAATTTTTAAAAGCTTTCACTGAAAGACCTGGTATATCTAGACATAAAAATATGAACGGCGTTGTGGCAGCTTCCAGAAAAAGAAGGTCTGCGAGCTTTGGCCACGCTTTGTTGCTGCTGCTAGTAAAAAAGAGATTGAAGTATGCGTGACAGGTTCCAGCTGGCACTGGAGTTTCAAAAGAGCCTGTTGGCTTTCCAAAGGTGCCCTGCATGCATTATGTTTACCTTGTTTACAACATTTCACTTCAGGCATCAAGAAAAAGCTGGCTGCAGCTGCCAAGTCACGGCATTTAGAGGAGCTCGGGTCTTGGACAAGGGCAGTGGTGAACCATCTGTACTGGTGTGCTGGGTCAAGTGTCGACAACCAGGACCTCATCCTGCCAAAATGGAAGTCTCCGGTGGCACACGTAGTGGGTGTGCATACCCACGCTGACCCTCTCTTCCCAGAGTGTGAGCATGAGGAGCTAGAGAAAAAGTGGCTAGCAGAAGGTAAGGACAGATTTTTATTTTTGTGAGGCTTGAAATACGCTTTCTGCATTGCACTATGTCCCACGTTCTTGTTGTAGGGTCCCCTGCGCACCAGAAGCTGGAGGAGATCGTGCTCTCCACTCACCTGCTTCGCGACATTCCTCGACTGTCCACATCGGCGCAGACATTTGCAACAGAGTGCTTTCATAGTACTCTGTTGCAGTTTGCGCCGAAGCAGGTCCACTTCAGCTTCCGAAGCATGAAGGCCAGGTGTGTAAGAAATTTGGTTATTTCCTGTTTAGGTGTTTTTTTGTCATGCATATCTTGTACAGGACCTACCTCGCTGCCCTCCATTACAACGAAAATGCGGGAAGGCCCCAAGCGGTGACCAAGAAAGGAGAGAAGATGTGGGTCATCAAGTATCCAAAAGCAAAGAAAGGACCCACTGTTGCTAAGCGCAAGACTGACTGCACCTATGGTATATGCCCGTGCTCATATTTGTACGTGGCTGGTGCAGATTTTTTAATTGCTTTGAATGTCTCATTACAGAGTATGTGGGGGAGCTCATGGCAGTTGTGCTGCACCTCTGCTCAACGCTGCCATCCTACAAGGCTGCAGCTGCCCTCTGCAACCAGGATACACCTCCATTTCTTTCTAGTGCGTATCAGCATGGAGATAAACAGGCATTGGTGCAACAGCACTGCTCTAGGTTTACTCGGTAGTCTGATGTAGGCCAAGGTTCCACTTGCTTGATGCAGCTTCTTGCGCTACGCTCCAGCTTTTTCACTTCACCGTGTTTGACCGTTCGGAAAACCTCAGCAAGAATGGGATCCACTGCTGTGTTGTCGGCCAGTTCCTTTTCAGTCATGGGAGGTTTCGTCGGGGCTTCTAACATCAGTACGTTGCCTGAAGGATGTTGCTCATTGTCAGTCTCGGGCAATGGTAGTCTGCCTAAAGCATCAGCGTTTTAATTTCGCTTTCCTGGTCTAGAGATTAGGTTATAATCATAGGCTCCCAGCTTAACACACCAGCATGTCCTACTTGGTGAAAGCACAGTCGGTACTGGGGACTCCTGTCCTATGATGCCCAACAGTGGTTGGTGGTCAGTCGTTATGGTCACGTGATGCGCCGCAACGTAGCGATGAAAACGGTCCATGGCGAATATAATAGCCAGCCTTTTACGATCCAATTGGGAGTAATTCTTTTCACATGACGCCTTGCGACGTAGTGATGAAAACGGTGTATGGCAAAGATAGTAGCCAGCCCCTCACAATCCAGTTAGAAGAAATCCTTTTCGACCTTAATGAGCATTCTTGATGTAAAGACGATCGGTGTTTTGTTTCTATCTGAATCTAGCTGAGCTAATACTGCCTCGATGCCGTAGAGGGTTGCGTCACATGACACGCTCAAGCTTTTGTTTTTATCGTAGTGTGCGAGAACTGCACGCTGTGCAATAACATACTTTAACTGTCTAAAGGCTCGCCAATTTGTTTCCTGCCATTCACCGGGGACGTCTTTCTCTAGAAATATGTAGAGGTCTTTCGTGATTGTTGCCCTGTTTGCCAAAAACCGATCGAAAAACGCTAGAAGACGAAGAAACGACTGCAGCATTGTTTGGCATGTTGGTTCGGGCATCTCTTTGGTCGCTTTCAGTTTCTCCTCTGTCGGGTGTATCCCGGCAGTATCGATGATGTATCCGAGGTATACAACTTGTTCCACTGCAAAACGTAACTTGCACTCTTGAGTTGAAGTCCAGCCTGAGCAAGTCGCGTCAAAACTGTATCCAGTTGAGTCATGTTCTGCTGCGGTCGTACCGCTGATAGCGTCATCGAGGTATACCCCGATCCGCGGGATTTTAGCTAGTACTGCTTTCATGAATCGATAGAAAATCGCTGGTGTTGGCGGCGATCCCAAATGGCATTTTTTTTACCCTGTAGAGGCCTTTTGCAGTGTTAATGGTTAACACGTCGGCTGTTTCTGTTGTTAACTGTAGTTGTTGATACGCTTGAGCAAGGTCCAGTGTAGAAAATACCAACCTGTTTTGCAGATTGGTTAGGATTTCTGGAATCGTCAGCATAGGGTGCACTGCGGCTTTCGCCTCCTTGTTTACCGTACTTCGGTAGTCTCCACATAGCCAAATGGTCCCGCCTTTCTTTCGGACAACTACCACCGGTATAGCCCACTCTAAGTGCTTTGTCGGTTCGAAAATACCTTGGTTCTCGAGAGTTTTCAATTCAACCTCTACTGCGGTACGCAGTGCGAACGGCACGGGCTGTGATTGGAGGGAATTGGCAGTAGTGTCCCCTTTTAAATCAAAGTTTACAGGCGGACCCTTGTGCCCCGTGATCTTCGCATCAGAAACATCCTTATGTACCTTCAAAATGTTCACAATGTTGTTTCTGGTGCCGAGGAGGTGAATTCCACAGACCCTAATCTTCAGCTCTTTGAACCAGTCTCTTCCTGAAGACTGGAACTGGTTCCACGTGTCACTACCAACGACAAGATGTATTGTTTCAATCAATGCCTGACGCAAACATTCGCCTTTCCAAGTACTTGTAAAATTTCTCCTGACCAGGTATGAAGGATTATTCCCTCCTGGTTCAGTGATTGGGGCTTCGTGGGCTACAGAGGACAATACGTGGCTTCATTGATGATTGAGCAAGCATCTGTCGAATTGATCTCAAATTCCAGCTCTCGGTTTTCAATCTCCAGGATGACCTTAGGCAGCATTCAGCTCATGCAGGCTCCATGACTTGTCCGAAAGATCATCATCAGAATCAAGGGTCTCATTGTCCTGTTCCACGTTGTGTGTCATCCACGCTTGGTGCTGCGCCCTTAACTTCTTGAAACAAGCCTTTTTGACATGCCCCTTCTTGGGGCAGAGGTTACATCGTGTATTTTGGAACTTGCACGAGAACGCCGAATGCTGTTCTTGGCATCGGTAGCACGCCTGGGATTCTGACAGTTTGTTTTGTCTTTCCGTTTCCACAATTTCAGCAGTAATATTGCTTTTTTTGACAGCTTAAACCTAAGATTTTTGGGTTTTCAAATCTCGTTGATGTTGTGCAGCACTTTCTGTCCGCACGGCCATGTCGTATGCTTTATGAAACGTTAAGTTGGTCCCTGCAAACAGACTCTGTTGTAGATGCTCGTCTCTTATGCCACGAACAAAACAATTTCAGCCTGACGTCGAGAGGTAGCATGGTTGGGTTGAAAACTGGTTGACTCACCGGAACTGAAGTTCCAGTTGCTCCCAAGTTGACGGAACCAGCTGTCGTTCCAGTTGTAGCCAAACCCATGCCTGCGGTACTGGAAGTTGTTGCAGCCGCCTGTGTCACTAGGATCCCAAAGTTACAATCAGCAGCTAGCTTCTTTAGGGCTGTCGTGTAGCTGGAAATTGACTCCCAGGCCTTCATAGCCTGGGAGTCAATTTCCTCTTCGCTGGAACTTCGTTGTGCCGAAGAGCTCCGACGGCTGCGGGTCAAAGCAGCATCACCATGAGTTCACCGAAATTGTCACTTCTGGGTGTTCTCGGTGCAGCCAGTGCTCGCACGACTTTGTACGTCTGTGCTCCACAACGTGTAAGCAGTAGGGCCCTTTTCTTTTA